GGCACTGGAGGCTTCTTCAGCTGCAGCTTGTGCAGGTGCCACGACAGAGGAGCTGGAGCTCTGGGACAAGAAATTAATTTGGGTCACAAATGTGCCTGGCAGAGATGCCCCTCCGATCTCATTTCAAATGCAAGCCCTGAGGAAGATGCTGCTGGCCACATCCAGGGCTCTTCACCTCTCAGCTTTTGCAGCCCACTTCTCCAGCTCACGGCCCTGAACCCAAACCCTGCTTTTACATGAGGGACAAAATGTCACCAAAGACACTGCTAACCCAAACAGGCACTTACTGATGCTGGCTGCTCAGGCTGTGGGCTGACAGCAGGGGCAGGTTCATTGGCACCTTCCTCCTCTTCAGCCTCTTCCTCGGGTGCAGAGGCAGCCGGAGCAGGTGCTGGCGCTGCCCTTTTGCTCTGTGCACAGAAAGCAGCAGGAGGGTCAGGAAAGAACCTGTCATTCAGAGCCTTACGTCTCTTCAGCTACAAGCCTCGCTGCATCTCAGCTGTTCCTTTAGCTCCTGACTTTGGCTGTTCTGTGGGGAGGGCCACGTCCCTCCTGGGGACAGTGTCTCCTCATATACTGCAAGGCTGTGAACTGCACCTTTGCACTGCTCTCTTCACTGGGGACAAGGACCCTGCACAGCCCCCTGGCACAGAGGGCCTCACTTGTACCCCAGGAGCATCCAAAGACATCCTATTGCTACCTCTTGTCTCTTGCTGAGACAAATTCCCAGCCCCTGTCAGAACAGTAGGAAAGTGATGCCTAAATGTCCAAGTACCACACCCCTTCTCCAGGCCTCACAGGCTGGGGGAAGTGCTCTGGGAGAGCTGGAAAGATTCCAGTCCTCAGCATCTTCATCCAGGCAGGGCAGGTGCTGTCTGCTCAGAAACTTGCAGCTCTGCTTTGCTCCAGCCACAGGACTAGCCAGAGCTGCCACTTACTGATGCTGGATGCTCAGGCCCTGCAGTGGCAGCAGGTGCACATTGGTGGGAATCTTCCTCCCATTTGGCCTCTTCTTCAGGAAGACATGCATCCAGAGGAGGCTCAGAGGTCTGTTTTGGGCTCTGCAGATAGACAGCAGTGTCAGGGACAGGGACCTTTCTATTCAGCTCTGGAGCCAGATGCACTAAGGAGAAATCATCTGCAGAGAAATGGCATTCTAATTGTTCAAACTCAAGGAAAATGGGCCAGTTAGATGGGACTGCACTCTCTTGTACAGGAGAACTTCCATCATGGCTTCAAGCACCAAGCAACCCCACTTTCAGCTGCTTAAAAGCTCTGAAAAGGAACTGGAGAAACAGCCTGGGATCCAACTCCTCCTGCAGGTTCTGCTGCTGCTGCTGCTGCTGCTGCTGCTGCTGCAAAGAGCCTGGACTGTTCTTTCATTCATCCAACCAGGCTGGCACTGGACTGCACCAGGCCCAGCTCACAGCTTGCTCCACAATTGTCAATTGCTACCCACACCAAAGGTTCCTTTCCCACTCACCCAAGGAGCAGATTCTCTCCAGGCACGGGTGATGTGACCTGCAAGACAAAAGGCAAAAAGAAGCAGATGCTGTAAGGAAACTGCCTGTGCTGGGCACACCCACCAAATAGTCAGCAACCAAAGACAGGGCATTCTGCTTTCACTCCATCACTCCAGCAGCAACCCTTGTGTCACACAGCAAGGCAACAGCACAAACTACTGCCTCGTGTCTACATTTTGTTCCCTTTCGCCATTCAACCCATAGAAACTCGAGACTGAGAAAGTCCCAGTGGTTCTGCAACAGGCATTCCAGCTTCTGTCCCACCCCACCCAGCAGGAGCTACAGCTCCTCTCTTCCCTGGATTTCAGTTTTCTGAAGAGATTGCATGCAGCAATTGCCATGAGCTTACTGAAAACCCTTCCCCTAAAAAGCTTCACCCAAGTCCCCTTTAGCCATGGTGGCAGTTCTGTGGTGACACAGTGCAGGAACAGCTCCTGGGTTCAGGAGCATACAAGAACTGCTCTGAAATGTCCATCTCAGAGGCCTTTTCCAAGCTGATCCTGAGATTTCATCCGAGAAGGAATGGCTCTTTTAGCACTCAGGAAGTGTCAAGTTCCACAGGCACATGCTGGGATGAGGGAATGCAGACAAGAAGACTTGAACTGAGGGACTTTCCCTCAGTGCTGGAGAGCAGTGCACAGCTTTTCCAAGGACTGCTGCCAAGCTCTCCCAGTCCTCCTATCTTGCAAGTTGTCTGGCTTGAGCCAGCAAACTGAGGAGATTCCAGACCCCATGGGCACAGGCTATGGCACGGGAGGAGGGGAGCCCCTGCAGGCTACATTACAAATGCTGCCCAGGCCCCTCTGGCTAGAGACACCCCCTTCTTAGCTGCAGCTGCTGACAGCAGCTTTACCCAACTCAAGGCCTCTTGGTGGCATTTTGGTGTCCATAGGCCACACTGCACAAAACCGTCCACTTACGTGCCAGCTGGGTGAAAAAGTACCCAGAATAGGCCACGGAGAAAGCCGTGAAAACTGCAGCACACACTCTCTCCATGGCCTGAGCAGCGCTGCCCAAGTCTGCACCAGACAACGCCTTGAGGAAAAACCAAAAATCCTGCGAGTCCTGCTGGCAGAGACCTCGGCGATCAGCAGGTTCCACCTGCAGTCAGCGTGCCACAGAGCTGCTCTGCTCACTGAGCCCTGCCGGGCCTGGGCACAGCAACTTTGCCTTGGCAACGCTGGGATGCGGCCCCTGACATCACAATAGCAGCCACCCTGGGCTGGTTTGTGAACTCACAGAGTGCAGGGAACCAGATCTTCCCTACAGCTCAGGCCAAAAAAAGCCTGCAAAGCTCTCCTCTGCTACAAAGCAAGACAAAAAGCCCTCCTAGTCCATAAGCTACTGCTCAAGGCATCTAAGAGTAACTCCAAGAACACACTAATCCCACCTGGAGAAGTTGAGCAGTGAGAAGGGAGTGGGATGTGAGGAACCACATCAGTGCTCTTTGGCCACTAATGCTTCTGAGCAAAAACCAGGAGACTTCTTCCAGCTGGACTGTGGTGGTGTGTGTTTTGTGGGATTTTGCAGCGTTTTACTGTATGAGTTAGAAATTTATTGTTAGAAAGTTTTGTTTGGTATGTTCCTTGTACCCCCTACTTCTTTCCTTCACAGTGGTTTCTCCCAGGTTGTTTACCCCTAAGTTTTCCCACCACTTGACTGTCAATCTCCCTGTTCCTCCCCTTTTACCCCAAAGTAGACGAGCCAATCCAAGTTGTGCTGCCTACCTCCTGTCAGTCCATGTAACCACCCCCATTTTGTTCTCAAAAGTCCTTTGTCAATCATCCCTATTCTTGCCGTCACTTGGTCCCCTGAGGCTTCTCCCCTCCCCAGCTTTTCCCCATTGGTTATGACCTATGATGTAATCCTAATGTAATCTGTTGCCATTGGATGTCACATGGTGACACCCCTTCACGCCGACACCCTTTATAAGTTCTGGCCTGATCCCATTTTCTTTGGCACTTGTCCCTCACCCGGTTCATGGAATAAAGTCTCCTTGAACCACATACAAGTGTCCTCTCCTTTGTCCCTCTGTCTCGAATCTTCGTGACACCTTTGTGCCAGCATCACCCACGTGGCTGCACACACCACCACCTGGTGATCTCACAGGAGACCCAAGGTCGGCTTCTAACTGATAGAGTAAAACGCTGCAAAATCCCACAAAACACACACCACCACATCTTCCCCCTTTTATTTTATACATTTGATGGAACTTTGGGGAAAGATGATGTCGTGGATATTAAACTTCAGTGACTGCTTGTTGGTCGCCTTCCCACCATTCGTTTTCAGTAGTGACAGCAGCGGCGACTACAATTTTTGAAGCCGTGGACTTGGTGGTGGGGGTGGAAATGATGCGCTTTAGAATCCCAAATGCCAACAAAACTAGGAAAATAACAACAATGAGATATGCAATGTCTTTTATGATGGATACTACCCATCTGGAAAGATTCCAGTTTTTAAACATGTCTCTAAACCAGTCCTCGTTTTCTTGCTTCACACTGTCAATAAGGCTCTTCATCTCTCAGATGGACGCATGGACGCTCTGGCTCTTTGATGACAAGTCAAAGCAGCATAACCCCTCAAACTCCTGACACCCATGCCCATGTGCCAGTAGCAGAAAATCAATAGCTGCCCGATTTTGTAGGGTAGCTTTCCTGGTTACTTCCTCGTCTTCGAGGAGATTACTTAAGGCCGTCGAGGTCAAATTTGCCTGCTTCTTCACCCAACACTCTAGACTGCCCAATTCACTTAGTGCTTTGGCTGCCACCACCCATGGCAGGAACACACAGATG